GGCGAGGGAACTCCAGGAGAACCCTGCGCTACTCTCCCAACCGCGTCACTGGTACTAAAGCCAGCGGAGATTGGTCGAGAGCACTTTAGCCACATACACACATGTCTTGAGTGAAGAATCAGGCCATTGCCAGAACTCCAATTTATATAATCTACAAAAGGTCGCGAGGCCACTGCCGTTTCAACCTTCTTGGAGGATTATAGGGATGGGAGATGCTTGATAGGGATTGTGCAAGAGGATTTGGGTGGTAAGTAAGGTTCTGGTGAAATTTGGAGAATTTTTCTGGGATAAGGTCTAGGACAAATGGGATGTTAAGGTCATGATGTAGGGTTTTGTTGGATACATAGAAAGGAGCATCGACTATTGTTCGAAGGACTTTAGACTGGAAGGATTGGATGCGCTTGATGTTAGAAAATTTTGCTGATCCCCACAGTTCTAGTCCGTAAGTCCAAATAGGTTTCAGTATTGTCTTGTAGATCAGTAGCTTGTTTTCAATGGAAAGTTTAGATTTTCTGCTTAGTAGTCGGTATAGTTGGCCGTATCGTCGGTTGAGTTCTTGTCTTTTGAGTCTAGTATGCGGGTTCCAAGTTAGTCTTCGGTCTAAATGAAAGCCAAGATACCGGACTGTGTCTGAATAAGGAAGCTGGATGGAATTAAAGAGTACTGGTGGACAGGAATTGCGTCGGAGTGTAAAGGTAATATGTTGGCATTTAGATTCATTAACTTTAATGCGCCAGTTATTACACCAGTGCTCAATCAAGGTGAGGTGACTTTGGAGATTTAAGGATGCTATTTCGGGATCAGAGTTGGATGATAAGATTGCGGTGTCGTCAGCGAATGTTGCAAGAAAAGTATCGGGATGAACAGGGATGTCAGCAGTAAAGAGGATGTAAAGCACGGGACCCAAGACGCTGCCTTGGGGAACACCGGCTTTAACGGAGTAGATATTGGAAAATTCTGTTCCACAGCGAACTCGAAAGGAGCGGTCAGAGAGGTAGGATCGGAGGACTAGGTACAAGGACTGAGGTAAATGGATTTTAAGCTTGGAGAGCAGTCCGGAGTGCCATACCCGGTCAAATGCCTGTGCAATGTCCAGAAAGGCACCCGAACAGTATTCCTTGTTTTCTAGGGCTGAGGAAATATGATCAACAACTCGGAGTCCTTGTTGAACAGTAGAATGTTGAGAGCGAAAACCAAACTGATGGGAAGGGATATTTTGGGATTCTATAATGGGTAGGATTCGTTTCAAAAGGATCTTTTCAAAAATTTTTGAAAGGATTGGGAGTAGGCTGATTGGTCTATAGGATGTTGAGCTGTTGAGAGGTTTTCCTGGTTTTGGGAAAAGGATAATAGTGGAGTGTTTCCATAACAGAGGGAAGTGGGTGGTGCGTAGGATACAATTGTAGATATATGTAAGGAATATGACTGCTTTGGATGGAAGTTGTCGAAGGATTTGAGGTGTAAGGAGATCATGTCCAGGAGCTTTACGGAGGATTAGTTTTTTTAATTGAAATTTTACTTCGGAAGGATGAATAGCTTTTGGGGGCAAGGAAAGTGGGATTGGTGATGTAAGGAGTTCTTCTACTGTTACGGTGTGGGCAGGATGGGATTCCGGATGTGAAATAAATGTATTGGATAGGTGAATGGCGAACTCCTCAGCTTTATCTTCGTCAGATGCTGCCCAGGAGCCATCACCTCGTCGGAGAGGATGGGAAATGCGGTGAGGATTTAGGATTTTTGTTGTGGTTTTCCAAAGGGAATTGTCGCGAGAAGAGAGGGAGGATAGGTAGGAGTTGAAGGATTGTGATCTGAAGGTGGCTAATTCCAGTTTTAATTGTTTGCAGTAGTAATTATAGGAGCAGCGGTCGGTAGGATGTCGGGTACGTTGCCATAATAATCTGGCACGGCGTTTGGTGCGGATTAGGTTAAGGATGTGTTGGGGTAGAATGGTCTTTATAGGAATTCTGGAGGAGCCTTTTGGGAAGGAGGCAGTCCAGGCGGCTAGTTGGATTGTGGTAGTAAAGGAATTTACGGCACTATCAAGGTCATCGGGAGTTTTGAGGGATGTGTTGAGATCAATATTATCGGAGATTATTTGGCGGAAAAGGTCCCAGTTTGCTGGGCCCCTAATGAATGACGGTGGAGAAGGTTTGGGAACAGGTTCAAGTGAAACATTAAGGATTAGAGGACTATGGTCAGAGGAAAGTTCATTTAGACGTGTAATGGAACAATTGAGGGGACTTAAGCCGCTGTGGATAAAGAAATCAAGAAGATCAGGATTACGGTTGGGATCTGTGGGCCAGTAGGTAGGAGAGTTGGGGGAAAGGAGGTGAAAACGTTGGGAATTGAGTGCAGACAGCAGGGTTCGGCCACGAGAATTCGTGGTTCTGGAACCCCATTGTTGGTGCTTGGCATTTAGGTCTGCACCCAAGATGAAGTGATGTCCTAAGGAGTCGAGGAGAGAACTGAATTGGGCATTGGATATGGATCGGTTAGGAAATATGGATCGGTTAGGGGATATGGATCGGTTAGGATATGGATCGGTTAGGGGATATGGATCGGTTACAAAAATTGACCTTTTGTTTATAAAAAAAATGTTAAAAATATTTCTACTGCAAATATTGAACCACTTAAGTGAAACGCAGCAATTTTTTTCTTTCTTTGTTTCCAGCAACACTTTTCTCAATTGTGGGAATTGATCCTTATTTTGTTAAGCAGGGATTGGAAGGTTTTTGCCATTTTAACAGCTTTTGAGATAGTTTCAAGGAAAACAAAATTGAAAATAAAAGTTGTAGATAGATAGATAGATAGATAGGCAGATAGATAGATAGATAGATAAAATTACAGGGGTTCTGGCTGGCTATTTTATATTTAACACAGTACCAGCTCAATACTGATATAATTCATTAAAAATATGCTACGTATTAAAGTAATAAAGAATATACAGACATAATTTAAAATAAAACATCAATAACATTGATGATAATATACAGGCTGTTTCAGGGTTAAGTAGCCAAAATGGCAAACCATACAAACTCATACAAACCTTTATTTTGTATGAATAGGGAGCTTTAGCCTATTGTTATTATTTGTAATGCATAATGAGTGTAAATTTGTATAGAGGAATTCCCTGTAACTTCTGGGCTAGGACCCATTTTGAAATCTAATTATATTATTTGTTATGCCAGTAATGTAAACATGTTATTATCTATTATTATTTTATGATGTTCTTGTTGTACACAGAGTGTTTCAGAGTTAAGTGTCCAAACTGCAAAAATGAACTAAGGACCTCAAAACAAGAATAAAATTTCCTCTGAAGGTATGTTTGCAAACGCTTTGTTTAGGAGATATTCACACCTAAAGATTTTCATTGTCATGAATTATTTATGTTATATGAAATAAATAAAACCTATTTATTTGTTCTGACTACTTTATTAATTAAATTTAAACATTAACATTCATATTAAATGTTGTTCAAAGTAATTTCCTTGAGTATTAAGACAGGCTCGGCATCTTTTTTCAACAGCAGCAATGACAGAACGGTGCTGGCCTCTTCGTAAGGAATTAAGGTCATTGACCGGACTTGCATAGACTTTTTATTTAATGTCATCCCAAACAAAAAAATCCAGTGGTGCCAGGTCTGGAGAGCGTGCAGGCCAAGCCACTGGTCCTGCACGGCCAATACATTGATTGGGATTATTTACACGCGATTGTCGTGGACCTCTTCCGTGATGTGCAGGACTACCATCTAATTGAAGCCACATATCCCTTTTCATTTGTAGTGGACTATGTTCAACTAAATCATGGTAATCATTATTATGAAATTCCAGACATTCAACTAAACAAAGCGTTTGCGGACATACCTTCACTTTGGACAACATTTAATATGAATGTTAATGTTAACATTTAATTAATAAAGTATTTAGAACAAATAAATATGTTTTATTTATTTCATGTACGTAAATAATTCATAACAATGAAAATCTTTAGGTGTGAATATCTCCTAAATACAGCGTTTACGGACATACCTTCAGAGGAAATTTTTTTCTTGCTTTGAGTTCCTTAGTTCCTTGTTGCAGTTTGGCCACTTAACCCTGGAATATCCTATGTTCAAAAACAATACCATACAATTATAATAGATAATATGTTACAGGGAATTTCTGAGTGCAAATTTGCACTCATGATGTATTACAAATGATAATAGGCTATTCATACAAAATAAAGGACCCAATTTTGAGAGCCTCTTCAATGAACCGAAAGAGTTCAAATATTATATCCTTATTAGATGGTGAAAGTACGATTAAAATAAAATTTGTAATGCACTATATTGTAAAAAAGTAATAGGTTTCTGGTAAAACATTAAATTGTATTTATTTAAGTTCTTTAAAAAAGTTATGTTAAATGATAAATAAATAATAATTGGACTTAGAATTATAATTTAACATAAATAAATAACTGTATTCTAATATATTCTTTGTTTGTGTAGCTAATTTAAGAGTCACGTTTTATATCGGCATTTTGAAGAAGACAAATAAACATTTAAATTTTTTTTTTAAATAAAAGTACTGTAAAACATTTGATTGAAAATTTGCTATTTAATTCCAAAATAACAGAAAAAAAAATTGGAAATAAAGATTTGATCAGTACCGTAACTGATTAAACATAGAAATTAAAATTTAATTTTAAGTATTAAGTGACTAACTAAATGTTCCTAATCCTAAAATTTACGTTTTCGTGATAATAATTCAAACAATTAACAGTTGTATATTTTACGAAATATTAATTAATAATATTACTTTATTTGGTATTGTTGTGTGTCTTGACTCTATGTATTTTGAAAAGACAATTTTCATTTGTTATATTATGACTGTTTTTTATTTTTATCTTTAAAAAATCGTTATTTATTCAAGATAAACATATTGAAATACATGACTAAAACTATAATGATATTGTATATTATATATATAAATATATATTATAATACTGTATAAGTTACTCACTTGATGATAATACAGAGCCTAGGATACAGCACTCTCACTAACCCCACGACGACTTCTCCACTACTGTCAGAAGCCGTTGCCCCACCACGGTCCGCTGGTGGGAGATGAGACCGCTTCTATCTTATATAATATAATGCTCACTCATTGCATTGCATTATTATTTTTTTTTTATTATTTCAATGAGTTTTAAATTTTTTTTTATCAAATTATTGACATCCGCCTGAAACTTCCTAAATATCTTCTTCTCAACGAAACCTACAAATATTTTATTTACGAAAATTCTCGGAATTGGGGCGTTTTCAATCTGGGGATCGGCAAAGTTTATCTATGCAATTAGGTACTTAAAGCTCGTAAATACCTATTTTCTTCCCACTTGGATCGTGAGATAACTTGATAACTTATTAGAAAATATTAGTCTGCTCTGCCTACATATACCTGTTTATTATGACAATTTGAAGGTGTAGGTAACGCCAAAGAGCTCAGTATTTTTGAAGGCCATCTTTTTTCTCGACTTTGTGCTCAAATTAATCGAGAAAAAGTGTGGCCTTCATAAGTATTTAGCCATTTGGCCTATATATAACCTGATTATTTTGACAATTTGGGGGAAGGTCACTTTCAGAGTATTATTATAATCGGCACAGGTGAGTCTCATTACATCTTTAGTCACACACACAAAAAAGAAATTATCTGGGGTTTTAATATTAATTAATAGGTTCTTGCAACAAGTTTATGTTGAATTTTAATGCTTCATTACAAAATCAATTGAAATATATCATACAAGTCTATTCCAGCGAGAACACAGACGTTAGATAAATTCGTCTCTAATAAATTCGACTAACTGACTACATCAACAAAAAAATGAACTCGTATAGACCGCGGCTTGAAACGGAAAAAAACTTGCCTTTTTTTAAAAGTCTCGTTGCCTCTACAGTTTTTACAGCCGATAGTTTTTAGTTATTTTATAACTAGAAATTTTTTCCTTGCAGCTTTTCAAGTAAGGGTTTTAAAGAATTTTTAAAAAAACTTTTAATTAGTCAATCTAAAAAATGACTTACTATTAAGCGTAACCTACAAATATTTTATTTACGAGAAGTCTTGGATTTTGGGTGTTTTCAATCTGGAGGTCGGCAAACTTTGTCTATTTTATTAGAGACTAAAAACTCGTAAATACCCATTTTCGTCCCACTTGGATCGTGAGATAAATTGATCATAAAATCGATAAAAATAGTGGCCTACAAAAGTATTAGTCCGTTCTGCCTACATAACCTCGTTATTTTGACAATTTGGGGGTGTAGTTGACGCCTAAAGGCTCAGTATTTTTGAAGGCTATTTTTCTCGACTTTGTGCTCAAGTTATATTACGATTCAAGTAGATAGCAAATAAGTATTTACGTGTTTTTAGTACCTAATTAAACAGAGAAAGTTTGCCTACCTCCAGAATAAAAACGCCCCAAATCCGAGAGTTTTCGTAAATAAAATAGTTGTAGGTTACTATGAGATGAAACTAAAAACGAAGTTTCAGAAGGATGTTAATAATTTGATAAAAAGGGGTCTGTACCACGGACTAAAACGAGTGTTCATTTGTTTTTAGTACCTCATTAAATAAAGAAAATTTATCGATCTATATTTTGAAAACGCCCTATTTCCGTGAATTTTGTAAATAAAAAATTGTAGCTTACTATAATTTGAAGCCATTCACAAAGTTTGGGCGGGTGTTAATAATTTGATAAAAAGGGATCTGTACTACGGAATATTATGTTTGAAAATGGGCGCAGACAAAAATTAAAATGTTGAGGGAGCGAGAATATCGTTTCGTCCCTCCCCCAATAATTTGGGGCAAAAAAAAAAAATTATCAAAAATAAGATACATGAAGGAATAAAAAATATAAACTAAAATCGATTAAGAAAATTCGATTTGCTTGCTAGGCAACCTATAAGTAGGCAAATAATTATTTTATCACGGCCTAAATATTGCTATTATTTAAATTTTTATTTATATTCAAGGTATGATTATATAGAAACACTTCCTAGGATTTTATGATTTATTTTATGGGTACACCTCCATTTCCACGTGATTTTATTATAAATTGTCTACTACAAATTTATTGTATATAGATTATTTTTACATAAGTAGTTAGACAGTGTGAAAATATTGTATTTTTATTTTAAGATTGTGCAAACTAAGAAACCAAAAAATATTATTCAATTTTTTAACATTATTCATTTTTAGCAGGAAAAGTTCTAGAAATGTAGTTATGTTATGAAGGCTGTCTCTTTTTCTTTCATATTCAATGTATATAAATTGTAATAAATCCAATTGTTTTGTTCAGATATTTTCAATTATATCTACATGGACATAAACAAATTCCACAACTTCTACGTAGAATACTGCCACCATATTTTTTTTATTGGGTTCATCTCCCCCCCTAATCAAAATGGGAAGCCTGCGCCTATGAATACAATAACTCATCAAGTCCATAAAAAAACAAAACAAATCTTTTTATAAGTAAAAATAGTTTTATTTAGTGCACGATGTTCTTCCTTAGCGAAAGTGTACTGTTATTTAAATAATTTTCGATTATCTTGAAGTTATAATTTTTTTCCTTTCATTGGGAACTACTAGATAAGTTTATCCATATTATTATTTTTGTTCTATTCTCATTAAATGATTATATTTTATTTGATAGTTGTAAATTTCAATAAATAAATTTGTTGGTGTTACATCTTTTGCCTTGTTCATCTGAATTCAGGATCCTTAAAACTTTAAAAATTCAGGCTTCTTTATTATTAATTTTAAACCCACACATTAAAATAAATACTGTGTTTTTTAAAGACACGGACTGATAGACGTTTTATTATTTGATGAATGGTTGTTGGAGATTGGTGGGGTTGTTATAAAACATGAGTAACAGTAAACTCTGTATTATTAAATGAGTTTTAAATATATTTCTCAAGTATTTGGTTTCAAGAACTATATTATATACATTTATTCTTGAATCAATGAGTATTTATGCATCCCTATGCTAATAAGCTTAGTTACATGGTGTAATATAAGAAAACAAACCAGTTACGTAAAAAATCAGGGACTGCATAGATTGTGGAAATAAACTGTTTTTTTTAAAATTTGTTTGTAACAAAACTTTAATAATATGTAAATGTAGACAATACATTGAGAAAACTTCGAAGACCGACTAATTTAAGTTTCTATTTTACATACAATAGTTGCACAAAATGTTATTTACATACTAACAATAGTACATAGTTATCTAGAGAATTATTCATTATTATCATTTGTCAATATTTTTATCAGATAATCTTTTTCCCAGTTGCAAAACACTGAGAGCATACGGAAAATACGAAGGATAAAATGGAAGAGAATTCCAAGAAATGTTTATTGGATTCGACAGCCTAATATACTCGTTGTTGGGTTGAAGGGATATCCCACATCTTACCTACCTAATCTAACCAGATCAGAAAAACTCAGGGTAAATAAATAAGACAATTATGTACTATAAACTTATAGGTATATTATAAATATAGAATTAGAAAAATAACTTTATTTTGGAACGAAATTTATGGTATAGCTAACGAATCGGAGGCAGTGAAGACTTTATAAGTAATGGTTTTATTCATAATGCCTGTTACAAATGGCATCTAACATACAGAGTAATATACTATGGATATATGGGTTGACTACACGAGTTCACTACAGGTCTCCTACAGTGAAGAGTGTGACTTCAAGAATGTAACTGCATTACTAGAGTCATTAGTCCAGATGAGCATGAGGTTTATATACCCCAGAATAGCAAGGGGGTGAAGGGAAGTCTGAAGAGGACGGCAAAGGAAGTTATCGATAGTTAATATTCTTAAGATGAGGTCTATGAGAAAGTGCTCTTTTGCTGAAATCTGTTGTTGTTCCCTAAGTCTTGATAATGGGTCTTCTGTCCAGTCGGTGCATTCTAGATAACTATTTCTAAGCTGTTCGAGATAGTTTGACCTGGCTATCTAGAAATGCTTTGTTCTTTTATCCTTTGAGTCATGAGAAACGACAATATAATACATGATTCGCCAATTGGGATATTTAACAAAGTTAAAGTGAAATTAATATTATTATTATCATTACTATTTGTTACGGATTAAGTCCATTCCGTAACTCATGATAAGAATAACCAAATCGTACAAAAGAAAAGATTACTTCTGGTCAAAAGGCTTGATAAATTCAACTAAAAAAAATGTTGGGAAGATCAGAGACGAAATTAATACGAGAGTTGCCACTTCAGGAAGGAAGTGGAAAAAGAAACAAGTCGAGTCTATCGCTCGACGTTCGTCCATATCCTCACGGGAAGCGATTCCTCGGCCCTGAAGCAACGTGATCGCAGCCGCCTCCAAAGCATGAAAATGAGGAATCTGAGGAAAATAGAGAGAAAGACCAAGAGAGATCGGATACATAACACAACGACTACACTAAAAATTGAACCCCTCAACCAGATAATAGAGGAAGAGCAGCTTCGATGGTTCGGTCATGTAATGAGGATAGATGACCGCCGTTCAGCAGAAATTGGAGGCTAAACCAGCGGGAAAACGATCTAGAGGAAGACCAAGAATTAATTGGGAAGATATTCTCAAGAGTATTCTTAAAGACAGAGGAATTGGATGAGCGGAAGCCAGGAGAACAGCCCTCGACAGAGACGGATACAAATCCCGAAAGAGACAAAACAGTTAAAACTATATACAAAATCCATCGAAAATAGTAAAACAGTATACATATTCAATTCAAAGAAGAAATGTAGAAAAATGAATTATTTCTTAATATGATCTAGAGTCCTTAACAATAGTGTGAATGTGTTTTTAATTTTTTTTTTTTTATATATGTAATGTTGACCCATGTTTGATTTATTATGTTATTCCAAGTTTTCTTTTCTTTTGTTTTTATTTTATTGTATATATGGTACGATTGTTTCATACATCCCAAACACTCAATGCCGTTAATTGAGGCAAAATGTATTTATTTTGCCTCAGAAACAATCTTCCGCCAGGCTTCCCTATCTGCAGCTATTCTT